CAATTCAATTTTAATAAAGTTCTCCAAAAGAATTCAATTATTTGAAAATTTTTTATTAAAATTCTACGCAAACATTAAATTATTTTCAAAAATAATAAAATTCTTCGTAAAAATTCACTTATTTAAAAAGATTTTTTTTAAATTCTCTTCAAAATTTCAATTATCTTTATAAATAATAAAATTCTTCTCTGAAATTCAATTATTTTCAAAATTTTAATAAATTTCTTGACAAAATTGCAATTATTTTCAAAAAGTATTCCTCAATTCTATTTCAATAAAGTTTTCCAACAGAATTCAATTATTTGAAAAATTTTTAATAAAATTCTACGCTTTATTTTTATTTTATTTTTTATCTTTATAAATAATAAAATTCTTCTCCAAAATTCAATTATTTTCAAAAAGTTTAATAAAATTCTTGTCAAAATTTCAATTATTGTCAAAAAAATTTCTGCATTCAAATTTTTTTTCAATAAAGTTTTCCAAAAGAATTCAATTATTTAAAAAAAATTTTAACAAAATTCTATCCAAACATATAATTATTTTCATAAATAATAAAAATTTCACAGTAATTTAATTATTTACAAGTACTTTTTATAAATTTCTTCGCAAAAATTCAATTATTTTCATATACACTAAAATTCTTTTTATAGGAATTCAATTATTTTCATAATTAATAATAAAACTTATCGCAGAATTTCAATTATTTATAAAACAATTCTAATCGAATTCCTCGAAAAAAAAATTCTTAAAAAAATTTAATATGAATGAATTTAATTATTTAAAAATTTGTTGAGAGAATTGTTAGTGAGAAATTGTTAATTAATTCAATTTTAAGAAACATTGAATTAATAAATTAATAAATTATTTATTTTTTTATTTAAATAATTAAATACTTCTAGAATTTTCTGATAAAAATTTATTTAAAAACGAATTTCAGTTAAAATTTTAGATAATAATTGAATATTAAAAGGTTTATAGTATGAATTTTTAGAAATAATTGAATTTTCAAAAAGTTGCAAATTAAAATCTTTGAAAATTTAAATTTTTCTTACTTTTATAACTAAAAATTCTGTAGAATAAATTCTTTTGAAAAAGTTTAATTGAATTTTTTTTTTTTGAAATTGTATATGAAGTTTTTATTTTCTAATATTTAGTTAATTGGAGAATTTACGAGTAATTGAAATTTCGTAAAATTGAATATTGTAAACAAATGGTTTTTAAAATTGTCAAAGAACTTTTTCAAAAATTATTAAAAATAATTGATTTAAAAACGAATTTTAGTTAAAAATTGTAGAAAATAATAATTTAATTGAAATGATGAAAATAATTTCTTTGTATTAAAAATTTTAACTACTGTAGCATTTAAAACTAATCATTTATTTGGATCTAGCAGTAATTTATAACTACCAAAAATCAACAAAAAATGATTCCGATTATCAATGACAGTAAAAACAAACTCTTTAGCACTGTCGAAGTCACCGCTTGTGAGAAGACTCTACTAGCCCTCTATCGGTCAATTTCTGAATATTGGCGCGAAATTCAAATTAAATATTCAAAGTTCTCAATCAATTAACTTAGGGGCCATACTTTTAGGAAAATAGCAAAATATTTAACTAATTTAGAAGCTTTAGCTTCTAAATTAGTTAAATTTTTAATTTTTCCAGCGTTAAGAGATCAAAAAAAGATTGCTGACGATTTAGTAAATTTTCACAAAGAGCGAATAAATGCTAATTGAAATCAGTGGTACAATTATCGCATTTAGAAATTTAGAAAAATGAAGAATAAATATTTTTTTGAAAAGACACTTTTGACGATGAAAGAGAAAAAAAAAGTTGCAGAGCACCTATGAATGGAGAATAAAGAAGAATGAATGAATTTCAAGAAACTATAATGTCGAGAACTGTACATATGCAGATACTCCCTCGCTATTTACGCAAAGTACTTTGGTATCGCATCTGCTGACAAGCCCTGGTGGCCAACGGTTGCGCAAATTGAAACGCTCTTAAAGGTCTAACGACTGAAAATCCATAAAACTAGAATAATATTCTCCTCACGAGTCTATTCTCAAGTCAATTTTTTCCCCTTACACACCTTTCTCTAAAGTCAAACATTTATTATCTCATTTAAATTGTTGCTTTCCTTTTATAAATCCATATTTTATTTCAAACCCTCATCAAAGGAATACTTTTAGAAAAACAACTAATTCCCAATTTGCGATTTTATGGAAAAAATTTCAGAATTTTTTATTTGCCATGGGAACAACTGTTTCCACATTTTTTTTTTTTTTTTTTTACCTAAAAGTGATCAATTTTGATAAAATCACTTGTAAACTTTCGAATGAAACATAAAAATGACTTGAAACTTGAATTTCGGGCTCAATTTCCAGTGCAGAACGCAAATTTTTAAGGGGCGTACCAGAGAAAAGTCTTTTTTTTATTTTTTCTATCACTAATATAATAAGTGGTTATTCTAAAGAAATTTGGACAAAATTGTTTGTAACTTTTAAATAAAATATGGAATTGACTCGAACTTTGAATTTCATGATTTTAAGTGCAGAAACCAAATTTCAAACTCTGTAAATCTGAATAAAGAATTTTTTTTTTAATGAAAAGTCATCCCTATTATAAATTACAGTAAAATTTATAGTAATTCTTACTAATTTTTCGCAGCAATTTCACTAAAAATTGAGTAAAAGATTTAAAATTTACTAAAAATACCTACTAAATTAAGTAGTAATATTTTACTAAAAATTTTATAAGAATTTTTAAAAATAATTGAATTTACAAGAAGAAATTTATTTTTATTGTTATTTTAGAAAATAATTGAATATTGCAAAGAATTTTATTAAAATGCCTCAAAATAATTGAATTTTCAATTATTTATGTAAATAATTGAGTTCTTGGGAAGAATTTTATTAAAATCTAAACGAAGAATTGAATTATTTCATAAAAATTTAATTAAAATTGTAGGTATTTAAAATAATTGATTTCTTTCGAACAATTTTATTCAAATATTTGAAAATAATTGAATTCCTGTGAAAAATTCTAATATTTTTTTAAATAATTGAATTCTTCCAAAAAGTTTTACAAAAACATTTTATTAAATAATTGACTTTTTCGAGTAATTGAAATTAAATTTTTAAGAATAATTACATAATAATTATAATTATTGCGAAAAGTTTTATTAAAATATTCAAGAAGAATTGAATTTCTGTGAAAAATTTTTTTATTTTTGAGCAATATTGAATTTTTTATGAGAATTTTATAAAAATTGTTTTAAATAATTAATTTTTTCGAAATATATAATAAATATTATGAAAACTTTATTTTAAATAATTGAATTCTTGTCGAAAATTGTATTTGTGAAAATAATTGAATTTTTCTATTAATTAATTAAAAATAGTATTAAAAATAATTGAATTTCTTCAATAAGTTTTATTATTTATGAAAATAATTGAATTCTTGGGAAGAAATTTATTAAAATCTAAAAGAATAATTGAATTCTTTAAATAAAAATGTAAATAAAATTGTATTTAAAATAATTGATTTCTTTCGAACAATTTTATTCAAATATTTGAAAATAATAATTGTATTCCTGTGAAAAATTATAATATTTTTGTAAATATTTGAATTCTTCTAAAGAAATTTAAAAAAAAACCTTTTATTAAATAATTGATTTTTTCGAGGAATTGAAATTAAGTTTTTAAGAATAATTACATTTTTTGAGCAATTCCTGTAAAATTGTATTAAAAATAAATGAAATCCTATACAATGAATAATTTTATTTAAATTTTCAAAAACAATTGAATTATTGCGAAAAATTTTATTAAAATGTTTAAAAAGAATTGAATTTCTGTGAAAAATTTTGTTATTTTTGAAAATAATTGAATTCTTCATAAAAATTTTATAAACATTATTTTAAATAATTAATTTTTTCGAAATGTAGTAAATATTATGAAAATTTTATTTTAAATAATTGAATTCTTGTGGAAAACTGTATTTGTGAAAATAATTGAATTTTTTAATTAATTAATATTTAAAATCCTATTAAAAATAATTGAAATTCTTCAATGAGTTTTATTATTTACGAAAATAATTGAATTCTTGCTTAGAATATTATCAAAAAATTTTTAAAAAATTGAATTTCTTCGAAAATTGTTATTATCAGTGAAATTAATTTAATTATTGTGAAGAATTGTATATGAATTTTGTTAAATAATTGATTTTTTTGAAAATGCTATTCTAAATTAATTGAATTAATATGGAAATTTTATTATTTATGAAAATAATGTAATTTCGGTTAAATTTGATCAATTTTTGTTTAAATAATTGAATTCTTTTGGGTAATTTTACTAAAATAGTAGAAAAATAGTAGATATTGAGAATAATTGAATTTGGAATATTTTTTGAAAATAATTGAATCGTCTTAAAGAAATTGATTATAGTTTTTGAGAATAGTTTTTTGATTTCTAGTATTAGCGAATTTAAAGTAGTGGAAATGTAAAAAAAAATAGCTTTTAGTGGCTGAAATCGAAAAAAAGTACCCAAATAGTAGCATAACGTAAAAAAGTAGTAAATAGTAGGTTTTAGTAGATGAGTGCGAAGCCTGAACTTATAGAAAGAAGGGCGAAGAAAAAAAAACTTTTCTTTTTGTTCCTAACAAGTTAATCTTTCAGCACCTAGTTAATAACTTTCAGAAGCAGAAAGTAAGTATTACTACAAAAAAATAATAACAATAAATAAAAATACTAAAAACCTAGATGTGTGTACACAAGAAAAAACCTGATGTATTCAATAGATTACAAAATGGTAGAGTAAAATTAAAAGGTGTTATCGTTATAATGATAAAAAGTGACATAATCAGTAGGATGCGACGTTTCGCACGAAACCGGAAGTCGTATTATAACCTAACTCGTTCGCATAGGTTGGCTCTATAGATATGGAATCTACACAAACCACGAATGTACGTTTTCTTCTGTCGAAACTTCAGTTTGCCGCCGGATTTCCCCGCGACAACCTCGCCGTTTTTTTATTCTTAATTCAAAAGTGCCAAAAGTGAGATAAACAAATTTTTGTGCTTTAAAGGATATTTTCCATAGTGATAGTAAATACTAAACAAACTATACCCCCATTTTCCCATTTAGTGACAGTGACAAATACTTTTAGTAGTTCTAGTCTAGTAGTTTAGTTGGTAGTTTTATTCAGTCGTAGCTGAAAAGAGTATTCCCTACAATAGTAGCTAATTAATTTCAAAAGTATCTGATTCAAATTGATACTTCAATAATTGCTAGGTACTTTTATTCTAATTGATAATTGTTTTCTCTCTTGCCAATTTTTTTCCTCCTTATTCTTATTTTTTCTTTTATTTCTTTGTTTACTAAAATCATCACTTAACAAAACACCATTTTTTTGAAAGAACATTTAGTTTTTGAAATTTTCGTTTCAAAGAATGCAAATTGCGCCTAAATAAACAAAAAACAAAACAAATAAAAAAAATACACGGGATTCCTAATTTCCTACCCATTTGTGGTTTCGTAAAATTACACGTTCCTAAAGGCTACCGTTATACATAGCACTATATACGAAAACCGCACAGGAAATAAAATTATACAACCATATAATATAAAGGAATCACACATAAATATATTCTAAAAGTTAAATATCAAATTGCCGTATGTATATAGTATATACTTATAAAAGCCCGCATTTCAATAAATATTTTCTTGACGATAATATGCAGATGCGGGTGTAAAGTATTTTTCATTTAAAGACACACATAAAAATGACGTCGTCAACAAGTATATCTTTTTAACTCGCACATTATTTATCAGTCAAAAAATCATTGTAATTGAGATAAAAAAAAAATTATAAAGAGAGAGATGGGAAACTCGCGACACTTTATCAAACAAAAAGTTTTCAGTTTAAACGATGAATATTCTCCGCATTCCTTTAACATGTCTTTGTTATCTTTGTAAAAATTAACCAGTAAAACGATTTTCAGTCGCGTGCATTTTTCACCTTTGCCTTGTGTTTGATAAATATTTGAAAAAAAAAATTGTCGGAAATTTAGAACAATGTGGGATGTGTGAGAAATTTTTCTTTTATCTCCTATCATATTAGATTAATGCCAAGACGGAAAATTATTTATGATTTTGTAAATAAAGGGAAATTTTAATTATTTTTCTGAAAAAAAATATCTCTGGTAATATAAAATCTTAATTTTTAATATTAAATCGTTGAATATAAAATTCTTTAATTCTTTAAAGGATTTGATATTAAATGAATTTTATATTTAAAATATTTTACATTTTATTTAACATTTTATATTAATGAATTTTATATTTGGAGATTTTGTATTAGAAGATAGTTTTAATATTAAAAGAATAATTTAATTTCTGATTTACAAAATAGATAATTTTCCACATTCAATAAAACAGGATTGCAACAAAAATTAAATTTTTTTTCCTCACTTTTCCCTCATTTTCAGAAAAAATTTTGACTTTTTATTTCTTTTTTTTTCTATATTAATAAAAAAATTCAAAAAGAGTTCAATTATAAAAAAAGATGATTTTCAGAATCAAAAAATTGTTGATTTAAAATACTTAAAAATAAAATTAGTTACACTTGTGAATTTTTCTTGATTATTTTGAAAAATTAATTTAAAATTCAATTTTTTTAAATAGAATTTTAGAAAATTTTAATTCAAAAAAGTTTCATTATTTGAATTAAATTTTTAAAAACTCAAAAAACTTTTGGAAAATATTTTAGTATATCTTTTCAGACAGTTTCAATTACTTGAAAAATTTTCAATTTTCTAAACATCTATTTTGTAAAATTCAATTATGTTTTCATAGAATTTTAGGAAATTTCAATTACTTACATATTTTTCAATTACTTACATATTTTTCAATTACTTGAATTACTATTTTCTGAAAATTCAATTATATTACAATAACTTTTCACAAAGTTTCAATTATTTAAAAAATTTTCAATTCTTCAACTATAATTTTGTAAAAATTCAATTATATTTTAATTCACAGAGGCGAATTTTCCTCAATTATTTTTCAAAATTTAAATAAAATTTAAATATTCATTTAAAATTCAATTATTTTAAATAGAATTTTAGGAAGTTTCAATTACTTAAAAAATTTTCAATTCTTTAAACTACTATTTTGTAGAAATTTAATTATGTTTTAACAGGATTTTAGGAAATTTCAATTACTTACATATTTTTCAATTACTTGAATTACTATTTTCTGAAAATTCAATTATATTACAATAACTTTTTACAAAGTTTCAATTATTCAAAAAATTTTCAATTCTTCAACTATAATTTTGTTGAAATTCAATTATATTTTAATTCGCAGAGGCGAATTTTCCTCAATTATTTTTCAAAATTTAAATAAAATTTAAATATTCATTTAAAATTCAATTATTTTAAATAGAATTTTAGGAAGTTTCAATTACTTAAACAATTTTCAATTCTTTGAACTACTATTTTGTAGAAATTCAATTATGTTTTAACAGAATTTTAGAAAATTTCAATTATTTTACAAATATTTCAATTATTTGAATTCAATTATCTTTTAATAAAGTTTTAGAAAATTTCAATTACTTAGGAATTTTTCAATTACTGGAACTACTATTTTCTAGAAATTCAAGTATAGAATTAATTAATAGAATTTTAGGAAATTAAATGTATTAAATTAAATTAAATTAAATTAAATTAAATTAAATTAAATTAATTAATTAATTTTTAATTAAATTTAATTTAATTAATTAAATTTCAATTACTTCAACATTTTTCGATTACTTGAACTATTATTTTATAAACAATCAATTATTTTTAATAAATAGAACTAAAATAATTTTAAAACTTAATTTTTCAAAATTTTAAATAACATTTTTCGAAACATAATGTATTAAAAAAATATCAATTATAACTCGTTCAAAATTAAATTATTTTTTAATGTTACTTTTTACAATTTAAGAAACAATTATACAATTTTTAACTAAAATTCCTCTCTAAATTTTATGTATTTATGTTTAATAAATAATTTTTGCGCAACTTCTTTGAGAATTCAATGATTCAAAAAAAAAGTTTACCTAAAATAATTCTGAAATCTAATTGTTTACAAAATTTAATTTAAAGAAATTTCAATTATTCGATAATTTTTCAATTATTATAAATGTATTTTAAATGATAATTCAACTATGTATACTTTTTTCAATTAAAAAAACGAACTTTTTTTTAGTTTTAATTTCTAATCAAAATTATTTTATATTAAAATTTTCCAAAACTTCAATTTGACACCTTTTGAAAAATTGCTCTTGGATTTTTTTCAAAATAAATTCAAATTCGAATAACTGTCGGAAGTAGAAAAAATTCAAGTTTTTGTATTAAAATTAGTCGTGATTTCAAAATTTTTAAGTCAAATAAAAGAAAATTCAAGAAGAATGAAAACTTTTTCATATTTTCAAAGACTGCCGGACTAATAATAATAATTACAATAATTTAATAATAAATCACTTTTGAAAGATAATAGTTTTTCAATTTTGAAAAATTTCCAAATAATTAAAATTTGGTAAAATCTTTTAAAAATAATTGAATTTTTGAAAAATATATAAATAAAAATGATCAAATTTTTGAAGAATTTTAATTATAAACAGGACCATGATTTCTCAAAAATTTTAATAAATCCAAAAAGTAAATTTCCATAAATTTTTATTAAATTGTTCGAAGATAATTGAATCTTAAAAAATTATAAAATAATTCTGATTTAGTTTCTAAAAATATTTTAATGTAATTTTTCGCAAATAATTGAATTTCTTAAAAGAATTTTTGTATAATTTAAAAAAACAAATTAATTTTTTGATGAATTTTAATTAAAAATTTTGAAAATGATTGTTTTTTCCAAAATGTTAAAAATAATTATAAAATGTTATTATTATTTTTTGTATGTACTTGAATTATTGAAAATACTGAAAATATTGAATTTTAAAAAATTAGAAACTAATTTTCATTAATTTTCATTTTTAAATTTACATTTAAAGATTTTTCGCATCAAAATTTTTGATATTTCAATTATTTTCAAAATTTGCAATTAAAATTCTTCAAAAATTGATTCGCAATTTTGAAAATAAGTCGAAAAAAGTCTCAATTTTTTAAATTTCCCTGGCAAAAATATTTTTCCCTGACATTTCCCTTACTTTACTGACAATAAACTTGTTTCCTTGACATTTCCCTGACTTTACTGACAAAAATTTTGTTTTCCTGACATTTTCCTGACTTTACTGACTTTTCCTTGATTTTCCTGACGAATTTTACTTCATTCTGAGTTCCCTGACTCGTGACAATTTTGTGTGAATTTTTGCATTCCTAAAAATTTTTCCAATAACAAAAAAATTACACAAAATCTAAATTTAATAATTTATAAATTTTCAATTGTTCGTTTCATTCCGTTTACCACTGAAAAATTTACACAAACCTGAAGTCGAATATTAGTTACAAAGTTAAAATTAAATTCACTGTAAAAATTTTCCAAAAAAAAATTAGCATTTTCAACATAAGATGATGCAATGAAATCATTGGCACAGTTTTCGGGATGAGTTCTTATTCCCACAAGTTCATATAATTAAATAACTTTCATAAATCAAGAGTAGAATATACAATCAAAATTATAATTAGTTAACTTTCCAGTGCATGCATACCGTCCTTGATAAGTTATACTTTCATATTCTAATTTTAAAAACCAAACAATATAAAGTAATTAAACACCTAAGTAGTAGCTAACCAAGCACAAAGAGAACAATCTAGATTATCGAGAAGAGAAAAAGTGCGGATAAAAATCAAAAATGAAAATAAAATCCAAAAAATCTAGAGAATTCAATTCTAGAAAAGGAATATTCAAGTGCATCTATTTAAAAATGTTTCTGATATAGAAATGATATAAAGAAAAAAAACGAAACGTCTTCCGTGCACTTTCGCTGGAATCTTTAATTATTTCCACCCAATTAAACCAGCGAAGGAGTAAAAGAGAACGCGTGTATCACGCGTGCAATTGCACACGCGTTTCATTCTTCCGGTCATCCCCCAGAGTTCAGAAAGCGTGCTCATCTACTGAGAAATTATAATTGGATATAAAACAGAATACACAAAAAGGAGGAAAAAAAAACAACAAGATTCCCTACTTTCCCATAGTCTTTTTAAAATGATAATAATACCACGTGCCTTTTATTTATTACCACACATTTCTTTCCTAACAATTTCCTCGGAATATTTATAATATAATTATTCTTCTCGACTTTTTTCCCCCCCTCTTTAATCAGACTCTTTGCTAATTAAATTTTTAATGATGAATTCTACACAGTTTTAGCATCGCAATTTATTCGCTATTAAAAAAACAGAAAAAAACCCTTTATTTCTTTTGAAAAAAAAGAAATAAAAAACTTGTATTCGTTGTAACGATATAGACAAGTAAATAAATAAATAAATAAATAAATAAATAAATAAATAAATAATAATAATAAAATAAAATAAAATAAAATAAAATAAAATAAAATAAAATAAAATAAAATAAAATAAAATAAAATAAAATAAAATAAAATAAAATAAAATAAAATAAAATAAAATAAAATAAAATAAAATAAAATAAAATAAAATAAAATAAAATAAAATAAAATAAAATAAAATAAAAATATTTATGAAAAAATAAAAAAAACCCTTTATTTCTGTCCATCACTAATTTATAAACTAATTTTTAAAACAATTTTATTTTTACAACTGAATTTTGAATTTTCCTAAAATTCAATTACTTTCAAAATTATTAATTAAAATTCTTCAGAAATACGATTATATTATTTAAAAAAAAATTTTTGAAAGTAGTAAAATAAAATTGTTTGAAAAAAAATTATTTTAATCAAATTTGACAAAATTTTTAAAAGATTAAGAAATAATTAAACTATTTTTCCAAATTACATAACTTATTTTTCCAAAATTCAATTATTTTTTGGGAATTTTTAAATAAAATTGTTCAAAACTTTAATAATTTTTTAGACAAACAATTAATTATTATTTAAAATAAAAGGAATATTTAAATATTATTACAATTTAACAGAAATTAAAATTTTTAAAGACTTCAATTTAAAAATCTTTTAAAATTTAATTATTTCCAAAAATTTATACTATAACGCTTCTAATATTCAATTATTATCTAAAAATTTTAACAGATATGAATTTAATGGTGATTTCTGTCGAAAAAGATTTATAAAATTTTTTTAAAATAATTAATTTCTTTCAAAAAATTTTATGAAAATTGCATTTCAAATAATTGAAATTTAATAAAATTCCTTTTAGAACCAATTCAAAAAATTTTAATCAAATTCTCCAAGGCAATTTACTTAATATAAAAAATGTTTAGAAATTTTTTCGCAAGAATTCAATTATTTTTACAAATATTGAAATTTTTAATGAAATTCTTCGAAAAAATTAATTAATTTCATGAATAATAAAATATTCGCAGGAATTCAATTATTTAATATACAATTCTCAAGAAAGTTTTTGGAAAGGAATCAATTATTTGCAACATTTTTATAAAATTCTTAGAAAGAAGTTTATTATTTTCAAAAATTTTGATAATATTTGTTTGTAAGAATTAAATTTTTGTCTTAAATAATAAATTTCATTCCAAGAATTCAATTATTTTTAATACAATTTTAATCAAATTTCTAAAAAAAGAAAATTATTTTTAAAAATATTCGTTGAATTCGATTATTTTCAACAATTTTGATAAACTTATTTCAAAAAATTAATTATTTTTAAACATTTTAATAAAATTATTCAATTGAATTTAATTATTTTTAAAATTATTCATAAAATTCTTCGAAAAAATTTAAATATTTTCAAAAATTCTGATAGAATTCTTTGGAGGAATTCAAATATTTTCATAAATAATCAAAATTCTTCACAGGAATTAAATTATTTTTAATACAACTTTTAAGAAAATTTCTCGAAAGAATGCAATTATTTTTGAAAGTATTACAATTATTTTCAAGAGTTTTTTATAAAATTCTTAAGAAAAATTAATTATCTTTATCCCTTTTAATAGCATTTTTCGATTGGATTCAATTATTTAAAAAAAATTTAAGAATATTCTTTCAAAACATTCAAGTATTTTCAAAAATTCTGGTAAAATTCTTCGAAACAATTGAATTATTTTTATAAATTGTAAAATTCTTCCCAAAAATTCAATTATTTTAATAAATTGTAATAAAATTGTTTTAAAAAATTCAGTTACTCTCAAAAGTTTTTAAGTAAAATTCTTTGTAAAATTCAATTATTTTTCAAAACTTTCAGTGAAAATTATTTTTAAAAATTACATTATTTTTACGAAATTTAAAGAAATTTTTCCAAAAAAATTTTAATTATATTTACGAAAACAAATAAAATTCTTTAAAAGAATGTAATTTTCTATCAATAATTTTAATTACATTCAATAATAAAATTATTAATTACAATTAATAATAAACACGATTATTTTAGGAACTTAAAAGGAATTCTTCATAAAATTTAATTACTTTCAAAATTTTCAATAAAAATGAAAAACAACATTATTTTAAAAAAATTCAATAAAATTCTCTCGAATAATTTAACAATTTAATTTGATTTTAATAAAATTCTTGCCAAGAATTAAATTATTTTTATTACAATGTTAATAACATTCTTTGAAAGAATTCGATTCTTTTCATAAATAATAAAATTCTTTGCTGCGAAATTCAATTATTTTCAATACAATTTTAATGAAATTTCTCGAAAGAATTCAATTATTTTCAATACAGTTTTAATAAAATTTCTCGAAAGAATTCAATTATTTCAATACAATTTTAATTAAATTTATCGAAAGAATTCACTACACATTAATTTAAAAATCGAAAACATTTAAACTTAATTATTGAGTGCGAAGCCTTGAATAATGAAAAGGCAAAATAGGTGTCAAAATTTTAAATACGTAAAGAAAGATAAATATAGGTAACAACCTCTAATCACTGTAAATGTAAATATCGTAAAACAGCAAAGCAAAAAAAAAAAGGAGGGAAAACAGTCGAAAAGAAATCCGAGTTTAATGGCAATAAAAGATATATCTAATCTCCAAGATTAGTAATTGAAGTTGCGGTAATTTAGTGTACCGGACAGATATTAATTTAGATACACGTACAGGTGTATGTTGTGTTGAGAATAAATTAAAGGCAGGCGGAGTCGAATTGAAATCGGACGAGAGTCTGAACGAAGGAAAAGGGAACGGCTCCAGAAGAATGGACTGGCAAAAGTCAAGGTTAAAATAAAGGAACCCGACAAAAGAAGCAAAAGAGAGCGAAAGGGTTAAAAAGGCAGGAAGGAGAAGCAGAAGAAGAAGAAGAAGAGAGGAGAAGAGAAATGTGTACAGAAACTACCATCACCATCACAACAATACAAGTGTTGATGCAGAAAACCACAAAGAAAAAGAGTTTCTAAAAAAAAGAGTTCTCTAACAATATAAGAGAAGAAGGAGGTTCTCCGCATCGATCATCATTCATATTTAATGGTTTATACAAAATGTTCCAGTTCAACACGAAAAGAAAAAAAATTACCATGCATATAAAGTGATAATGATTGGTGACGAATCTTCAATTAATAGCAATTTCATATATTCTTTTATTCAATACGATTATCAAGGATGTCCTGCAGGAGGAAAATTGATTCTAAACTTTGGCTGGAATACATCCAGTCGGTAAGAATAATAACTATTACCGATATTTATTTATTTACAGGACTTACGCGACTATTGATATGCATGGCTGCCAAAAAATGATAAATCTAAAATTCCAGGCTTTTTCTATGGTTTCGAGGTCAAAAATTATGAAAATCTAGTAAAAAATTAAAAAAATTTCTGGCCTAATAACACAGCATCAGCTCTAACATTTTTTTTCCAATTTCCAAATACCAAAAACTTAATAAGAATTAAAAACCAAAAATTTATTTTCCGTACATTACTGGTCCTAAATTATTGCTAGAACCATTCTAATAATTATCTGAGTTACCAAAATTAATTTAACTCACAATTCATAAAAAGTAACCACAGCCGATAATCAGCAGAAGATGAAAATTATTTTTTGAACAAACTTTATCTTCTGTTTACTAACAATTTTCAGTCAAAATATTTTTTACTTGTCCTAAACTATCACCAGAACCAATCTAATAATTATCAGAGTCAGCAAAATTAATTAAATTTTAATTTCATAAAAAGTAACCACAGCCGACAATCAGCAGAAGATGAAAATTATTTTTTGACCAAACTTTATCTTCTGATTACTGACAATTTTTAGTCAAAACATTTTTTACTGGTCCTAAACTATTACTTGAACAATTCCAATTAATAACTGGGTCATCAAAATTAATTTAATTCACAATATTGAATAAAAAGTAACCACAGCCAACAATCAGCAGAAGATGAAAAATTATTTTTTGACCAAACTTTACTTCTGATTACTGACAATTTTCAGTCAAAATATTTTTTACTTGTCCTAAACTATCACCAGAACCAATCTAATAATTATCAGAGTCACCAAAATTAATTTAACTCACAATTCATAAAAAGTAACCACAGCCGACAATCAGCAGAAGATGAAAATTATTTTTTGACCAAACTTTACTTCTGATCACTGACAATTTTCAGTCAAAATATTTTTACTGGTCTTAAACTATGGAGGAGGTTAAAGTTTTGAACGTTCAAATGAACGAAATTTATTTATTTCTTCTTCAAATTAAATTTTTATTACTATAATTTTGCGTCACTATTAAGCAAATTAATTATAATGTTTCTAAATGTAAAATTTGAGTTTTTAATTTGAATTGTAATCAATAATGTATGAAAATATTTTTAACAAAAAATATTTCGTTCATTTGAACGTTCAAAACTTTTTGTTCATAACTATGGCTAGAACTATTCTAAAAATTATCATTCATCAAAGTTAATTAAATTTAAATTTCATAAAAGTAACTACAGCAGATAATCAGCAGAAGATGTGAAAATTTTTTTTTAATTGCATACTAATTCCAGGTTTTCCATACCTTTTTCTAAATTCCATACGTTTTCCAGAATTTCCAGGCCCTATGGCAACCATGATATACTTTTTGGCATTTTTTTCACCCCATTCACCTATTAGGTTCTATTTTGATCAATAAATTACTAATTCACATATTACGTGATAGATATTTTAGGTATTTTAGACCCCTTCCCCCTCTGTGTGATTCATTTTCTAAAGTTTAGTATAGACAATTTGATAATGCGTTATACTTTGTTTCATCCTCTCCCACCCTTAAATATATTACATATTATTTAAATGGACCCTTATTTATTTATTTCTGCGTATATGTACTACCTTTCTTTCCTTCTTGATAACTTTGACAACCATCCATTCTATCGTCTTTTGTTTTTTTGTTGGTTATATGGCCTCTTGCGCTACCATCTTTTTTCCTTTTTCCTTTCTATTCCCTTCCTAAAAAAAGCGTGAGCGAACATTAACACAACTTTTATAAATAGTGTAAGTTTAATTGAAAATAATAATTTCAACTGTTATCAGAGAATATTTTAGAAATTTCGAAAAAAGTCATTACCTTTACGAAGAGAAAAAGAGGATAAGGAATTTAATAACGTTGCCGATACCAATTCAGGACTTGGATCTCCCGATCATCTCTTGAATAATCGCCTTCCCTGAAATATCAAGTTTTTTATTTAATTAAGGATAAATAGCCTTCAAAGGAATTATTTTTTAATAATTTAACAAAAATGGAAACAACTGGATTTGAAAATTTTCAAAGAACTTTGAGAAATTTCAAATCTATTTGATTACGATTCATTGCATTTCTACAATCATTTGTAACTTCTCCAAAATTCAATTCTTTTTCGTGTTTTTAACTAAAATTCATTTTTCTTAGTCAAAATCTAATAATTAATAATAGAAAACAACTGATAAATTTGTTAGGGCTACTAAATCATTCAGTAAACGTTCCTAGTTGAAATAGTAAAAAATCCCCCGCAGCAAATGAATTAGCAACTGTTTTAATAATAAATAATTTTCAGAAAAACTATTCTAATAAGAATCAAAAACACATTCATCAATAAATTTTTTGCATAAATATTGCAAAATCATTTAAAAAAGAGGGAAAAAAATAAATTCAAGTATTATATTAGGGAAGAAATTAGAAGAGAAAAAGAAAACAGAAAAACGAAAGGGTGAATCGTGTAATTAAAATTGTTCAAGTGATTGCACAACTGGCGTCAACGAATATAAAAAATCTCGTTCTCTAGGACAATCACCATTCTCGATCACATGAGTGATTTTCAAATAAGATCAAGAACAAGATCAAGTCGTGGAGATAGCATTCCATTGATGCAGACAGTTCCGTATCGAAAGTCTATTTAATAATAGTAATAATAAAAATAATCTAATAAAAGGAAACGTAAAGAAATCACCCACGGGGAATTTGCGAAGGCTAAATAGTGGACCAACTGCAATTAATTAAATTAATAAAGGAAACAAATTTTGACATTAAAAATAGAAATTAAGATTTACGAAAAAGCCTTTGAAACTTGGTTCTTTAACGCTAATTGTATATTTCTTCTCAGGAAACACTAAAAAAAACGTCATATTAGTGTAGTGAAAAGAAAATCTGTCCATAAAAGTGGAAGAACTATCGACAAGAAAGAAACCCAAAAGATATTTTTAAACTCAAGGAGAAAACTCGAAAGTGCAAAAAAAGTTTCCTAGAGAACATATATTCTATTTTTGGATTGTTCCATTACATTTCATCCAAAGTCCTTGGCAGTTTTGTTTTTCTTTTTTAAATTCTATATAACACCTTTATCAAGAATTATTTTCGGATGCCCAGAAATAACCGCATCTCAAATTTTTTCCAATCATAATTTTCTTCGATCAACTGAATAAGAGTACACCCAGCGAAATCTTTTCTTAAAATCAAAAATAATTTATTTCCATCAAGTAAAAGTATTTTTCTCAATTATTCATTTTGTAAAATTATTATTTCAACCGCAAATTAAATTTATTTGATTGAAACGAATAAAATTTTCATTTGAACCAAATAAATAATTTAGTCAGACTTCGCACTCGATAATTAGTTTTAAAAAAAGTAGCAAAAAGTAGCTTTCAAAATAAAAATTGCAGTAAAAAAGTAGCTATCGAAAAATTAAACTTGACGATTTTGAAAATTTTATAAAAATATTAGATATATTGAAAATCATTGAATTGTTAAAAGTTTTTTAAAATAATTAAATTTTATAAAGAATTGAATTAAAATTTTTGACAATAATTGAATTCTTACGAATGATTTTATTAAAAAATTTTTAAATAATTGAATTTCCAATTAAAAATTTATTATTTTTAAAAGTAATTGAATTTTGCAAAGAATTTTATTAAAATGCCTCAAAATAATTGAATTTTCGGGAATAATTTTGTTAATTATCTTTAATAATTGAATTCATTGAAGAATTCTTCATGTTAATAACTTAATTCTTGGGAAGAATTTTATTCAAATCTAAAAGAATAATTGAATTATGTCAAAAAAATTTAATTCAAAATAATTGATTTCTTTCGAACAATTTTATTAAAACATTTGAAAATAATTGAATTACTCTGAAAAATTCTAATATTTTTGTAAATAATTGAATTCTTTCAAAGAATTACAAACAAAAATTATTTTGAATAATTGATTCTTTCGAGGAAATTAAAATTAAATTTTTAAGAATTATTACAGTTTTTGAACAATTCCTGTAAAATTGTATTAAAAATAATTGAAATCCTGCGATGAATTATCTTATTTTTGAAAATAATTGAATTTATAAAAGAATTTTATTAAAATTTTCAAAAATAATTGAATTCCTGACAAGAATCTTATTATTTATTAAAATAATTGAATTTTGCAAAAAATGTTATTAGAATCTTTAAAAATAATTGAATTCCTGAGAAGAATTTTCTTATTTATTAAAATAATTGAACAGTTGCAAAGAATTTTATTAAAATTTTCAAAAATAATTGAATTCCTAAGAAGAATTTTATTATTTATGAAAATAATTGAATTCTTGTGACGAATAATGTTATTTATTAAAATAATTGAATTTTGCAAAAAATGTTATTAAAATCTTCAAAAATAATTGAATTCCTGAGAAGAATTTTCTTATTTATTATAATAATTGAACATTTGCAAAGAATTTTATTAAAATTTTCAAAAATAATTGAATTCCTAAGAAGAATTTTATTATTTATGAAAATAATTGAATTCTTGTGACGAATAATGTTATTTATTAAAATAATTGAATTTTGTAAAGAATTTTATTAAAATTTTCGAAAATAATTGAATTCCTGAGAAGAATTTTATTATTTATTAAAATAATTGAATTCCTGAGAAGAATTTTATTATTTATTAAAATAATTGAATTTATCAAAGAATTTTATTAAAATTTTCAGAAATAATTGAATTCCTGACAAGAATTTTATTATTTATTGAAATAATTGAATTCTTGTGACGAATTTTATTATTTATTAAAATAATTGAATTCCTGAAAAGAATTTTATTATTTATGAAAATAATTGAATTTAATCAATAAAAAGGCTAAAGTCATTTTAATTTTTTCATTTGCAAAGAAAAAAATTGAGTAGGTAGTAAATTTTTTGCTTCTTCTTTAATTTTTAGGCATACATCATTAAATTTTAT